TGTTTCCACGCTTCTTGGTGACTGCAGCTCAGTGCTTTTGCCTGGCTGGACTGGCAGCCTGCGAGGAGCCTGCTGTGTTTCCAGGATGTGTGAAACAGGATCCATCACCACTAATAGGAAAGAGTATTTTATAAGCACAGTCCCACTGTTGTTACAGTAACCAGCTTTTAGTTACCTAAAAATATGTAATAGAAACATCAGCTAAACATCTCACCTGCTTCCTTTATTAGTGACTTAAAAAGTCAAAAGCTACAATTTTACTCTGTTGCCCATCACCTCCAGACAGAGCTGGATGGTACAGACAGGCGTTTTGGGGAGCACCTTTTGTCCCAAAGGATCCATAAGAGCTTTTCAGACCCTTCCATGCATCATCTCTGTTCTATTCCTGTGTAAAAGCCTTGAGACATTTTGCACTGACAATGAATCCTGGCAGTGTCTCTCCTTGCTGCATCATGAGCAGGGTTAGAGTGAGTCCAGAGGAGCCACGAAGACGGTCCAAGGGCTGGAGCAGCTCCCATTCAAAGCCAGGCTGAGAGAGTTGGGGGTGTGCAGCCTGGAGAAGAGAAGGCTCCGGGGAGACCTTCCAGCACCTTCCAGTGCTGAAAGGGGGCTACAGGAGAGATGGGGGGGCTCTGGATCAGGGGGTGCAGGGACAGGACGAGGGGGAACGGTTTGAAGCTGAAAGAGGGGAGATGGAGATGAGATGTGAGGAAGAAATGTTTTCCTGTGCGGGGGGTGAGGCAGTGGCCCAGGTTGCCCAGAGAAGCTGCGGATGCCCCATCCCTGGAGGGGTTCAAGGCCAGGCTGGATGAGGCTTTGGGCAGCCTGGGCTGGTGGGAGGTGAGACTGGATGATCTTTAAGGTCCCTTCCAACCCAGACTGTTCTGGGATTGATTCTATGATTCTTCCCTCCTGGCATGCTGGAAGTTAAAAATCCCAGGGCTACTGTCCCCTCATGATGGTGCTGGACATCTCCTGTGCCCTTGCTCCTGGCAAGGACAGATGGATGGCACTGCTGTGTCCTATTTCTGCAGCTTGGCAAGCAGCTGGAGCTCCTTGTGTTGCTTCTGTGTGGAAGGGAGAATCCTGGCTCTGCTCGGGGTGGTGGTTGCACAGCTCTCTCCTGCCCACCCTTGTTCTGTCATACCTACTTGCAATTGATTGTATTGGTCAGAGTGGAAGAAACTCTAGGAAACAATTGAGTCAACATCTTGCAAACCAAGTGTCTGATTTTTTTCTTCTTGTTTTAATTAGCTTGAATAAATAAGTTGCAATGTCAGACTCTGAGCACCATTTCCGAGAAGGAACATCAGTCTTTGGGAACTGAAGGACTGCGCAGAGGTGATTGATGTCCCAAATCTCTTTTGGCAAATGGGATTTCAGCTGGAAAGTCGTTCTCCACAGGGCTGCTCTCCATCCATCCCTCCATCCCTCCATCCCTCCCCCAGTCTGTGCTGGTGCTGGGGGTTGCCCTGACCCAGGTGCAGGACCTCACCCTTGGCCTGGTAGTTCAAGGAGTGAAGTTCATCATGCGGTTCCCATGGACCCACTCCTCCAGCCTGTCCCTGTCCCTCTGGATGCCATCCCTTTACCGCTCAGCTTGGTGTCATCCCCAAACTTGGTGAGGGTGCACTTGATCCCCTGTCTGTGTCGGTGATGAAGATATTAAATGGTATTGGTCCCAGTATGGACCCTTAAGGGACACCACTCATTACAGGTTTCCACTTGCACATTGAGCCACTGGCTGCAACAGTTTGGATGTGGCCATCCAGCCAATTCCTTACCCATCTCTGGTCCACCCATCAAATCCATGTCTCCAAATGAGGGGCAAGAAAGTTGTGGGGGACCGTGTCAAAGGCCTTCCAGAAGTGCAGACAGTTGACATCTGTAGCTCTTCCTTTGTCCACTGATGCAGTCACTCTGTTGTAGAAGACCACCAGCTTAGTCAGGCACAGTTTGCCCTTGGTGAAGCCATGCTGGCTGTCTCTCATCACCTCCCTGTCATCCGTATGTTTCGACATGTCTCCCAGGAGGATCTGCTCTGTGATCTTAACTGGGCTTGGAGGTGGGGCTGACTGGTCAGTAGTTCCCAGCTTGGGACTGGAACAGCCTCCCTGGGGATTTTTAAAACAGGTTTCATTTTTATTAATTGAAGTCCATGAAACACTATGGAAACTGTTTCAACCAACTCCCTGGATCCCTAGGAAGGACCCTTTTCATTTTGCTCCCAAAGACTGGATAGCTCGTGGGGCTGCCAGGCCTGTGCTTCCTCTTTGCAGTTGCCTTTAAAAAATACCCTACATTTTGTGAATGTAAGTGCCAAAATAAAAAGGCGCATTAATGGTAACCTGCAAGAGAGAGAAGCAGCGTTTTGAGGGAAGAAAGGTTTATTCTTTAAAATTTCCTTGGAGGAACTGTGGGCAGGATCTTCTGTAATTTTTTCTTGAAGGAGCTAACTCTTTGTCAGAAAGATCCTTCTTCCCAGCTTTGTCAGGGGACTCACTTGTGAATTAGTTTGAAATTGTACTTTTCTTGATTATGTTGGTTGGTTGTTGTCAGTACAGAATTACAGGTTGCAAAGAGATGAAGGTTTATTAATGTGTATAATGAGCGAGTGAGGAAGCTTGGAGGGCCAGGAGCCGTGCTGTGCGTGCAGTGTCGCCCTCGGGGGATGCTCAGGTGTGATGCAGCCAGCAGGCATCACTTCCCTGCAGTTAACTGGGACGGGTGGAGGTCTGGAGCCTGCCTGCTGCTGCCCTCCTGCTTGCTGCTGGACGCTTTGGAGGCTTTTCTCTCCTCCTTTATTGATACTGGGGAACGGCAAAGCTGAGTGCTGGGCTGCAGGCAGGAGTCCTCCCCGCCCCGCGGAGCCTCCTGCTCGGCAGCTCTGGGCACCGCTTCCTGGTGTTTGTCCTTTCCCCCTTGCTTGGGAAATGCTTTTGGGAACTCAGAGAGTTGTGAGGAAGGGGAGCACGAGGGAGTAGGTTTTTCCTCTTTCCCGAGCAGCTGAGGCTGTGCTGGAGCTGAGTGGCATTGCTAGCCTGGGCTGGGTGCTTGCAGGGTGCCCTGTTTGCTATTGGTGGAGGCACTGCTGCTGTGCTGAGCTCCCACTGCTGCCTGCACCCCTGCCTGCAGCTCTGCCTCCCCTCTGCTGCCTGCGGTCCCCTCTGGGGCAGGTCACAGTGGCCCTGGGGCTTCTCAGGGGTAGTATGACTCAACCCCAGACCAAAGCCTCCTTTCCTCTCCCAGGGGGGACTGGGGACACAGTCCCAGGGTGCTGGTGGCCACGGGGGCATCGCTGGTTCCCCGCTGTGCGCAGCGCCAGCAGGAGCAGGGCAGATGTCCTGGGTGGGCTGTGGGATGCAAGGAGCCTGTCCTCTCAAACACCACATCGTGCGCCTTAGCGTCGCTCTGCTCGCCGGGGTGACCCCGGCTGTGGCGGCGGCGATGTTGTGGTACTTCAGCTTACTGTTGCTGGATGTTACTCGCTGTGAACGGTTAAATAGATTTGGGTGAGTCACTTAAACACACGCGATGGATGTGAAAATAATTGTCTGTAAAGCCTGTGCCTGCCAGGTCGCCAAGTAATCCTCACATGTCCTGTGATTCAAAGCCAGCCAGAAGGAGTGTTTTCTCCCTGTTGCTCAGTTGGAAATATTTTGAGGGAAGGCAGCCTAACGCCCTGTCCCCTCTCCCTCTATCTGTCTGCGTGGTCCTGTCCCCTTCCTAGTGGCCAGTGCAGGGAGATGGTCACCCGCACTCACCGCTTGCCATGTGCATCCTCAGTGACAGCATCACTGCAGCGTATGCCCCCGGCCAAACAGACAGGGAGAAGGGAAAGTACGTAGCAGTGAGTTACATGAAAATGTTTCATAGGATCGAAGGTGGATGTGGGTGGGAAGGGACCTTGGAGGTCCCTGGTCCAGTACCCTCCAGCAGTTCCATTAGATCGGATTGCTCAGGCCGTCACCCAGCCCACATGCTGAATATCTTTAAGGATGGACATCCCACAGCCGCTGTGCATCCAGTGTTTGACCACCTTCATCATGAAATTTTTTTTTCCTAATACCTAATCTGAATTTTGCTTGTCCCAGCTTGGTTCATCACTGCTTGTCCTCTCCCTGTGCACCTCCAAGCTTCAGGAAGACGCTGAAGGTCACCTCCAAGGACCAGCAAAAAGTCTGGCTCCAGCTCCTCTCCACCCTCCTGCTGAGTAGTCGTAGGGGGCAGTAGGAACCCTCTTCGCTTTCCCGTGCCAGGTGAAGAAGCCCAGCTCTTGGCCTGTCCCTGTGGCTGTGGCAGCCTGCTGTCCCCCACAGTCCTGGGTCTCTCTGCTTCCCCGTCAGCTGGTCCCAGCCCGCCTGGCTCCCAGCTCAGGCTGGATGTTTCTTTATTCATTACAAGTTCTTTCAAGAATGGGAAAAAATAATTGGCCACTTAAGTGAGAACTCAAAGTGAAAAAGTCCTCTTCCTTTCCCTGCATTTGTGCTTATTCTCTAGCAGACACATAATTATACCACTTCCCTTGGTGAGGCCACGGCACTGGCTTGCTTAGAGATACGTGGAGCCCAGGGTGCAGGTATTTGCAGATGTGCTCAGTTTTTAATTTTCCCAGTAGTGCTGAAGCTCTTCGCTCTGAGTCAGAAATGTGTACAATCATCGATAGGATGTGACCTTCCCCCAGCACATTCCCATCGTTATGATTTTCTAATTATGCCTGTGACTGCCAGCTGGGAGTGTACAGCATCAGAGCTACCACAGCCATTGGAATGACTCAGTTAATGTGCCGAGAGTCTATTAAACAAAGTCTTATTTAATTAAGTCAGTGTTGATCTCATCAAAATCAAGAGGGAGCATGAGGGTGACAGCATTTCCAAGAAATCATATTTGAATAGCAGGTGGCTTGTACTTTCTTCACGATCTGGACCTTGTGATATTGTGACACGCTGGCCTCACTGCTGGGTTTTGGGGTTGGCAGGTCCCATGGTTGGGGTAGGGTTATGACCCTGGGGAGCCAGTCAGGCTTCCACAAGCCTGTGGGTGAGCACCGGGCATTTCGTACCACCCAGCCTGTGTGCAGGCGTGCAGCATGAAGGGCTGCACAGGCAGAGAGCGGTTAGATACCTGTGAGCTGGGCTCAGGGGCTGTGCCCCCTGCTCCAGCCCTGCTGCTGTGCTCTGCAGGGTCTGGCACCTTCTGAAGCACCGGGGCATGCCTGCATATCTCGGCTCCTTTGAGGACCCTGTGGTTTCTGGAGGAGGAACCTGGCTGAGACCATAAGATCATGGAGAGGTTTTGGAAGGGACCTTCAAAGATGACCCAGTCCAACCTGCCCCCTGCCATGGGCAGGGACACCTCCCACTAGCCCAGGTTGCCCAAAGCCTCATCCAGCCTGGCCTTGAACCCCTCCAGGGATGGGGCCCTGGGCCACTGCCTCACCACCCTCATCATAAGACATTTCTTTCCTTATGTCCAGCCTAACCCCACCCTCGTTCAGTTTAACACCGCTGCCCCTTGTCCTGGCACTGCAGCCCTGGCCAAGTCTCTCTCCCTCTTTCCCATGAGCCCCCTTGAAATAGTGAGTGGCCGCAGGAAGGTCTCCCCGGCGCTGTCTCTTCTCCGGGCTGCACAACCCCAGCTCTCGCAGCCTTTCTCCATGGCAGAGGTGTTCAGCCCTCGGGCCATTTTGGGGGCCTCCTCTGGACCCGCTCTACGGGTCCCTGTGCCTTGTGCTGGGGACCCCCGAGCTGGACGCAGTGCTGCAGGGGGGTGTCAGGAGAGCGGAGCAGAGGGGGAGCATCCCCTCCCTCGACCTGCTCGCCAGCCCAGGAGACGCTTGGCTTTCTGGGCTGCAAGTGCACATTGCCGGCTCAGGTCCCATTTGTCACCCGGCAGTATCCCCCACTCCTGCTCTGCAGGGCTGATCAAGGAGCTTCACTCCAGTCGGGGTTTGCTGAGCACGACTTGTGGCTTGGAGATGCTGCTGTGATGCAGGGAAATGTCCCACAAGACGGGAGTTCCTTAAGGTGCTGCAATGGTTATGTGGTCAGTGGTGGTGAGCTCAGAGCTGTTCTTGGCGTTTGCACACAGGAGTGTGAGCGCAGCTAGCCCTGTGCTGGCTCCCATCTGTCAGGAGGGCTCAGAACTTCCCCAGCTGATTTACTTCTCTCGAGTGTGGCATATGGGGTAGTTTCCTCTTCTCTCTGGATGAGTCCGTAGTCCTGGTAGCCTGGGAGACTCTGTAGAAGCTGTCACAGTCTTGGAGGGGTGGGCCTGGGGAGATGCTGAGACTCTCTGATGGGCTCAGCGCTTGGCAGGGCTCTTCCCCCAGCAGCTCCGTGTAGGTCACGCAGACACCCGGGGGATGCCTGTGGGGATAGGGAGGAAGGGACTGACTTGTGCTTGTTTTTATTTGCACCTCCTGTGCCTCTTCCCGTTGAAATATCAGAATGGCTTTGTACCCTCCCACCAGTGCTGGGCTGCTCAGAGTCATTCCTGGGACGAGGGCTGTGGGACTGTAGGGCGCTTCTGGCTGCTTCAGCCCTTATGGGCTGGGGACTGAACACACGGGCTGTTAGTCAGGGGGTGCCAGTGGCAGACCTGACCTGTCCTAACAGCCTGGGGAGGGCTGGCTGGCATGGTAGGGGCCTGGGGAGACCAGCCCTTGGTGAGCAGAAGGTTCTTGGTGCCCAGCAGTGGTTTTCTGTCCACTCCAGGAGCCGTCGCTGTGGATTGTGCATTGCTTCCACGTCCTGCAGGGCGCAGGGTGCAGTGCAGGCAGCGGGTCCCGCGGTACGGCTCCCCGGCTCCCTGCTGTCCTGACCACCAACAGGGTCGTTTCCAGGCTCAGGACCTGTGACAAGAGTCTGTCAGGGTGCATGGGGTGGAGGTGCACCCAGTCTAGAGCTGGGAGCGCTCGCGGGTCTGGTGTCTGCATGCCGTGCGGCCAGGCAGCAGATTGTAGCAGTCTCCAACACGTGTGTGTTTGCTCTTGTTGTTCTCCGCAGAAACGAAGGAGGAGCTGGAAGAGCTGATGTCTGACATAAAGAAGACTGCAAACAAAGTGCGCTCCAAGCTAAAGAGTGAGTATTTGCCATGCTGCTGTGGGGCTCTGCCTGCTGCCCTGCAGGCCCAGGTGGCAGGTACCGTGGGTCCCATCCTGGGCTGGGGATGCAGCAGCCAGGGAGCGTTGCTGCCCTGGGTCCTGCTCTGTGCCCCAGCTGCTCAGCGCTTCCCACTCCATCCCCGTGACCAGAAATGCTGGGGGGCCCTGGCTGCTGTCGCAGCCTTGTGGCAGTTGACTGAGGTCAAGACAGTTTTGGGGTGGTTTGCTCCAGGTAGGAGAGGGCAGGTTACAGATGCACAGCCAGGCCCCGTGTGTGTGCTCTGGCAACCTGCACTGGTGGTGGGAGGGGGTCGCAGAACGGGGTGAAGGGACATCCAGAAGTGCCATTTCCCATTGCTTTGCAGGTATCACTGGAGGATGGGTGTCGCCTTCCCTCCTCTATAGCGTCCTATAGCTGCTTTTATTTGCCCTGTGTGAATTTTCCCCCTTGATCCCTGTTCCCAGGATGGAGGCGAGGGAATGGGACAGGATCGTGTGGTGATCTGCAAGCGACTCCCATACTGCCAGCACTAGAATCCTCGCTGAGCCCCATCTCTGAGCAAACCTGCAACGTGGCCAGAGGTTGGGTTGCTAGGACCAAGTGGCTGAGGAGGTGGTGCTGTGGGACTTGCAAGCCTCCGAGAAGAGCTGGCTCTTCCCCAGTGAGCCAGGATGGCACAGACAGCCTAGGCAGGTGCAGCACCACGGGGTCCCATCTGGAGAGCCATTGTCCCTCTTCCCTGTGCAGCTCCAGCTGGGACCAAATGGTGCTGCTGGCTCTGCGGTGGTGTGCTGGCATGGGGCACACCCTGGGGCTCGTCCTTCTCTCTGCCCCTGTCCTGCTCGCCCTGTGTCTTCCCTTGCTTTTCCTTCCCCAGTGTAGGCTGCATCGCTGGTGGCTCTGCCCGAGGCAGCAGTGCCTCCTGCTCCTGGGCACGGGCTCTGGGGGGGCAGCAGGTGGTGGGGAAGAAAGGGGCAGCTGGGCTCGGAGAAGGTTATCCTGTCTCCTCAGCACCCCCTCGGTGTGCCGCTGCCTTGGGCAATGCAGGGACAGAGTGTGGCCAATGTCACCCTTGGTTTCCACCATAGGAAGAGTCAATTCACCTCTTTGACAAGCGGGGAGTGAGAACAACATGACTGTCAGCCCACTGATAGCCAGGGTTGTGCTGGAGCACTTGAGTGAGCCCAGACACCCAATATTGGACCCTAGAGAATCACGGGGTCAGTGAGGTTGGCAGCATCTTGAGGCAGGAGACAGGTCACCCCGTCGTGGCTCGGATTTGCGTGCAGTGGTCTTGGACATCAGCTTGGGATTTGGCTGAGATTGTTGCAGGAGCCCTGGCTGTGTCTGAAGGGTGGGAGAGGAGCATTCTCCCTAACCCCAAGGTTTCATGGAAGCCCTGTAGCCGTGGAGGACTTAGATATGGCTGGAGCTGATTGTCAGGTTCATCGCCACTGGCATGGCCATGTCCCATGCATATGCCAGGAGACTTGTACCTCTGTTGTCCCCTTGCTGCCTTCTGTCCTCATGACAAGTGATCTCAGCTAGACCCAGGAAGAAGAGCTAGGGGCCACCTTACCAGTTTCATAGACCAGGGGATCTCTTCTCATGGACCAGAGCCCCACCCAGGCCATACTGGGATCCCTGGTGCCCAGGTGGTGACAGAGTTTAGCCTGTGCAAAACAAAAATCCTTTTCCATAGAAGTTCTGTGTTTTTTAAGGGGCTTTGAGAGCCTTAAACATTGCAGGACAGGCTCCGATTCCTATTTCCTTCTTCCAGAAAAGACTCACTGGTATCCTATTTACCTGCAGCAACACATGGCCAGTCCTTGTGCTTTGTCCCAAATCTCCTCGTGGCCAGTATGATCAATGAAAGGAAACAGTCAGGACTGATCAAAAACACCATCTGCTGACAAGGAATTTACCTCTTTAGGACAGACATTGCTCATGCAGTGGCTAATTTTAATTACCAGCTTCTTGGGAAAATGTGATTTTATAAATTATCTGAAATGCACAACGTTTGCCAATACTGTTCCTTGGGAACAGGAACGGTTTATGGTGAGTGTGGAGGAAGACCAATTGCTGATGCAATACGCTGGGCAGGCAGCAGGCAGCGCGCTCTCAGGCAGGGGGTGCACCAGAGGAGTGCTGTGGCCGCCTGGCTGTGTGGGATGGGACCTTTCGGATAAGCTCTAGATACAGACACTTGCTCCAGGAGAGACTAGGAGGGAATGCAGAATTCGTGCTTATGTTCTCCAGCCGTTCCCCAGAGCACACAGTCCTCTTCCGAGCGCTGCTGCCCGCTGCAGCCTGGTGCTGGGGGGTCGCCCGTGCTGACCAGCACACAGCAGAAACACAGGTGCCCACCTTGATGATGGTGTTCTGTGTTTGCCCTGCTGTGCTGGATGGCCGTGGGGAGCCACTGGGCAGCTCGAGGGAATGGGGAGCCCCTGCTGCAGGAGGAACCTGCCCCATGCTGGGCTTGTGGGACCTGCTCCAGCGTGGAAGGTGCTGGGGACAGCCAGGCTCAGAGAGCTGTGAGAATGGGTCTGCAGCCAAACTCAAGGGATGCCACCAGCTCATGCCTGGTGGTCTACACGGAGACACACTGGGCCAGCCTACTGATGGGAGCTTTCTTACATGCTTTTTAAGTCCCTGAATTTAAGTTTTTGAATTAGTATGTCCTGAGCTGGCCTTGAAGACCAGATTTGCACTGCCTTGCTCTATGCCAGACCTTGTGCCCTGCAACCCTGTGCATTCTCCCTGCCCAAACCATGCTGGGATGCTGAGCAGTGTAGTGCTCCTCCCTGCTGAGATTTATGGTCTTTAGGCAAGTGGAATTCATCTCACTGAGGTGTACTACTGGGCATAAGTAAAAGGTCAGATCTGCTTTGCTGGAGAGGACTGTTCCGCAGGATGAAGCGGGCTCTCGCCAGCCTGGTGGGTCCTCCCTGTGCAGGGCCAGGCAGCTGGCAGACCTGCTGTTTTCAGGGTCCCTGGAGAAGTCTTGAGCTTTGGTATTTTGCAGAGACATTTTAGCACTGCGTTTCCTCCTCCTGCCTAGCAGGGGGACAGCAGCACTCCATTTTGTTTGAATACTGGAAAGTGTGGAGGTCAGACCTGAGCATTACATCACTTATGTCTTGCAACCCTCTCTTACCAGCCTGGCAGTGACAGCTGCTGCCCTCAACACCACCAAGGCTTGGCCGGTGGCTGGGCACTGGGTGCTCTGCAGCGATGAAACAGGGCTTTGTGGCCAGCCCAGGCTCAACTGCAGGCTGGAGTCAGGAGCTGGGGACTGCTCAGTGCCAGATGCTCCTTGATTCACAGGCTTTGGTCTTTTACAGCTCTTTGACAAACAATCCATTTTCCTTCTCTAAACAGTGCAAAATAATCTGTGTCCTTCTACCCTGACCAGGTATTGAGCAGAGTATTGAACAAGAGGAAGGACTGAACAGGTCATCTGCTGACCTGCGGATAAGGAAAACTCAGGTGAGTCTCTGCCCTGTGCCGTGGGGAAGGGGAGGACGGGAGTGGCTGGAGGCAGTTGAGGGATCCCAGGAGGTGATGGGGGAGGATGGCTGTGCTTGGCTTTAGAGCACTGGAGTTCTGGTGTGCAAATCCTGGGCAAAGGAACGCAGCACATTTCCAAAGGGATCAGTGAGAAAGACAGCCTGAAAGACTGTGACGAAAGTACGAGGCGCGGGGGCTGTGCAGGGGAGGGCAGCGTGTGTCAACTGCATCCTTGTGTGCCAGTCTGGGCGTCTGTGTGGACAGTCAGGCCTGTGGGTGGCTGCACATCCACGCTGAGCATCTCACTAAAGATGATTTTGACTGGAGCAAAAATACCCTCTGAAGTGCCAGCTTTGGGGGAGAACGTTTGTCTGCAACATGTTCAAATACCTGAAGTGTGTTTCTGCAGTGCCTGGGAGGATGCTCGAGCAGCTCATAAAATACAAAGGCTTACTGATGCAGCTGGGTAACTCACCTAAAATTTCGCTTAATCTAAGATGACGAGTGGTCTTTCAGCCTTCAGCCTGCCGGGAATGTTCTTCCCTGTTGGGGCTGTGGGTGCTGGTGCCCCTCTCCCAGGTATCAGTGTGGCTTTGAAGTCCAGGAGCCGTTAGCCTTTTGAAGGGCTTACACAACTCTTCCTCTTGTTCCCATGAAACCACCAATAACTGGCACTTTCTTTTGATGGCCTTCTTAACAGGGTTATCCAGGGTTAGAGGCAGAGATGGGGTGCGCCTCTTTCTCCCCTGCCTGGCTAGTCCCGAGGCTGCGTTGTGCTCAGTTGTGTCGAGTGGTCGTTCTGCCTATGCTTCTGTCTGCAGCCAAGAGGGGGTGGAGCATGTTGGCTCTACAAGAGATGGGTGTTGAGGGTCATGGGGTTTATCCGTAGGTCCAACAGCTCTCATTAGAAACTGGAAGCCACTGACCCTGCCTTGAGCTGGAGGTTGGGCTGCGTGACCTCCTGAAGTCCCTTCCAGCCTGTATTATCCTACAGTTCAGAGTAACTCACCTCCCACCCCCACAAACTCAAGAAACAGCTTAGAAATATTTGATGAAAGAAGTGTTGGAATGTCTTGTAGAGAGGCTGTCCTCTCTCAGGAGCAGCTGATGGCAGCGGGAAGGTCTGACAGCTGCAGATGTCCCTGTGGGGCACTGCTTGGGTCCTGGCCTGAGGCAGCTGGAAAGCAAGGGCAGGTCACAAACATCTCTCTGATGTCTGTGGTGGGTGCTAGTGGGAAGCCTTTGAGAACGCCAACACAGAGAGCACAGTCAATGGGGCCTTGGCAAGGCCAATGACTTGGCAAAAGAAAATTTCCGCGGGGAAGCAGCAGGCAGGCACAGCCTGGGAAGGATGTGCAAAATGCTGGGGGAGTGTCAAGGGAAAGGACATTGAGGGGGAGCTGGGGACAAGGGAGATGACCAACCTTCATAGACCCCTCATACAGCCTGCGGCATCTTCACGGGTCTCAGATTAACTCAGAATCATTTGCCTGCTGATGACCTGACGTCTCGTAAGACGAGGTTACACATGGTCTCCAGCTGCTTTTGAAACCAGGACTTGAATTCCTAAATAATGGGTACTTTGTGAAAATAGGACATGCTTCTATTGATTTTCTGGAGTCAAAGCTATGCAATTGTCTTGGACATCCCAGGACTGCAGAGCACATCAGGATGGTGGCAGGAGAGATCAAGGCCATGGCTCTGGTGGCCTCTGCTGGATCAACCAGAGGTGCAGGTTTATCTGGATCAGGCATTGGCACGTGGGGAGACCTTGGCCTCACCATGTGTGCAACACTTCGGGCTGACTGGAGCTGCCATGATCTGCTTGCATCACACGTAGAGGGTAGGTGGGACCTGACACTGCACCCACAAACACGTCATTAACTCCAGGTTTTAGAGGAAATCGGGTCCAAATGAGTGAATTTGTGCTGGATTGGCATCTTGTGTTGTGTGGCCGTGGCGTTTTTTTATTGAGCCTGTCTGTTGTTCGCTATGGCCTGAGCTCTAGAAGCTGAAGTAGTTAGCTTGATGAAGTGGCACTAGGCAGAGGAGATTACTCAACTCCATAAAAAGTGCACAGAGAAACAAGTATTTCATTTAGAGATGGTAGAAGTTGGCCATACTACACAGCAATGGGCTGAAAACGTGGGTTAATTCTTCTGAAAGAACGTGATGTTTTATGGCTTCAGATCCTCCATCTGCCAGAAGGAAAGTCAGAGGCTTGATTGCATGAACTGTGTGATGAGAGCTTCCCCCATCATCCGTGTACCACCCTCAGCTGAGCAGCTCCCTCCAAAGCCTTTCTAGAGAAGTGTTGTGTCTGCTCACTGGTGGCTTTGTGGTATTGCCCTGGGCCACAGGCACAGAGGGGAAGCGTGTCCATGGTGGCCTTCTCAGGTATGGAGTGTGACCCTACTTCTCCCTTCTGCATATGCTGGGGTACTGCTGCCTTTGGGGACACCAGGGTGATGCTCCAGCAGACCCATGGTGAGGATGGGTGAACCTGTCCCTGCTGCACAAGGGTGATCAGGTCCTGATGGCAGGATCAGGCCATCCCCTGACAGTTGTGTGCATAAGCCATGGCCAACTCTGGGGTGCTATTGCACCCCGCTATAGGATCTGACTTTAGCACTGGCCCCTCTACAGCTGCCTGGACTCTAAAGCTACTGGCTCACGTATAGGCTGAGTCACTACTCTCCTGTAAACCGCCATGCATCAGGCTGTCGTGGGGGTCTTGCTGGGGGAGGATCATGATTGGGTGACCCCAGGTGCCTGGTCAGCCCGTAGATCCCCTCGTCTCCAACTTCCCGTGCATGGTTCATGGTTCTCTGTGCTCTGCAGTATTCATTTGCCTCCTCTTTGCTACAGAGATCTTTTTGAAATGTTTATGCCTTGGGAAACAGCACAAGCACTTCTTTGTCCTCTCACTTTGTCGTGCAGGAACAGTGAGTCAGGCAGCATCCTGTGTGTCTCCTGTAGGGACAGGTAAGAAAGATTTCAATAGATTGAATGGAAGTATACACATGGAAGCAGCAGAGGGAATGGCAGAAGAAGGTATACAAGCCTGGCGTGGGTTGATGGCACCTAACCCAAGAGGTCATTGAGATGCCAGCATGGATACATGTAGATTTTAAGAAGGCTTAGGGTGGAAAACCATTGGGCAGCTTACTCCAGGACAGGAGGTGAGAGGACCTCTGAAGTGCCCCTACAATTTAAATCATTCCATAATTGTAAATCAGCTGTGCTGCCTAATGACCCTGAGGCAGGGCAGGTCAGTGGGGTGGAAGATGAATGTTGCTGTCAATGCTGGCAAGCACAGAGAGTGCATCCCAAACCCCTCTGTGGCCACCAGGAACAGAGTCACCCAGGAGATGTGAGGGGGACCTGTAGGACATGTCACACACAAGCACTGCTGGCTGCGCATCTTGTGATGCACCTAAGTTTGGGGCACAAGAAAATGAGTGAATCCAGGAGGGAGTGAAAACAGCTTTATTTTAAATTTATTTTTATTTAGTAAATCACCTTCCAGCTCAGTGCAGTCTCACGCTGAGCTTAGCTTGCTCAGTTGCAGCATTCTGGTGCTTTTTTGGTTCATGTCTATATTTTAAGCAGCCTTGCCTGTTCTGGCTTGGCCATGGGCTTGTGTGATGAGAGCTCAGCCAGGCTAGATATGTTTCCCCGGGGGCAGTCACACCATGGTGGGTGGCCAGGCAAACCGTCTGTGTCTCGAGGGGCTGTGTTGAGGCCATGCACAGCGGGTCCAGGGTGCCCACCGGATGGCTGCATGGTTGGTGCAGGGCTGTGAGCCTGTTACAGGTGCCACGTCCTCGCAGCTTTCTAAAATCAGCCTTCTCAGAGCTGGAGCTTTGTTTTCTGCCCCACCATGCGGGGTTGCAGTGTAGTTTTTACTGATGGTTGGCCAACTTCCCCGTGATCCTTTGGTGAGAGAGCACCTGACAAGATGCAGTCGTTGCTCCAGCAGTGGAATCTGCGCCCGCATCGCTGCAGGCGAGCTCCAGTGCTGGTTGTACTGGAGGATGTGGATGAAAACGAGCCAGCTCAGAGCAGAGAAGCAAGGCCTTGTTCTGCAGCAAAGATTGTGTTTTCGCAAACCATTAAACAGATAAAGGTAATGGGAGCTGCCAGGGTTGCTCTTCAGCACCCAGGAGTGGGGATCATGGCTCTTGTGGGGGCTTTACATGCAAATACAGCTCAGTAAAAATCCCACTTTCTCTAGGTCCTCTGCAGCGAAGCCAGAGGAGTTTTGGTTTTTATAGTTTATCTCCTTTTCAGTGTGGGAAGCCACGTGCGTAGTCTGCTCTCCCATGCCGCAGTTGGTGCCGGATCAATACAGTGGTGACATTAACTGATCACCTCTGCAGAGGCAGCTTCCAGCCCAGAGCCCAGCATCCTCCAGGTCCTGCACAAGTGGCAAGAGGCTGTTGCAGCTGAGGCTGAGGCAGTGGGGAAACAGCCCTCTGCAAAACGGGGGCAAGAGAAAGGCTTGTCTCTAGAGCAAATGGGAAGGAGAATTTCTGGGGTTAGCAAAACCAAGGCAAAGAGGATAGTGCACCAGCACACAGCAAGGCAGGACAACAACGAGTGCCTCTGCAGGCCAGCTCTCCTGTCCCTCCCCAGGGGATCCTGGCATGGGCAGAGTGCTGCTCTCGCTGGGCAGTGTCAGGAGGAGTCAGCAGATCACTTCCCAGAAAAAACCTCTGCCTTTCCCACTCCAGAGACACTGCTATGTGCCAACAGCAGTGCTGTGAAACCCATGCAGGGCTTTCCGCTCTGCTGTGCTCTGTGCTGTGCCCTTCAGGAGCTGTTTGCCATCTCCAGTGTGGGTGCTGGGTTGCAGTGGCAGGGAGGGGGAGAGCAGGGAGGTGGTACTCAAAGGTGACTGTCCCTGGTGTCGGCTGCACTGTGCCTGTGTTTCCCAGGCAAAGGCATTACTTCTGCTATGTCAGAGAAAACTAGAG